ATCAAGTATATATATATATATATATATATATATATATTGATTCGGTTATTTATGATAATGGCATATATCAGTAATAACTAAAATAAACTCTATTTCTTTCTCTTTTTTTCTCTCACGTCTAACACACACCCGTATTTTCTCTCAATGGTCTCTAAAGAATCAGTTAATACAAACTTAGTTAGCTGCAAATTATTTAGCGCGTTTGGAAGTGACCTGAAAAAGTTAAAAAGATTCTTAATAGTTAAAATTAGTGTTTCCTAACCCTTCAAATTTAAAGCTTTAAAGGCCAAAGTTCAAAAGACTTTTTCCTTCGATGTTTCACAATGTAAATAGTTAAAATCTCAAAAAATAAATAAAAAAATAAAAAATGGTGAAGTGTTTATTTATGGATGATAAATTTAACGGTATCATATGATGAATTGTGAGAATAATAAAATATGGAATAGTTAAACTGAAAGAATGAAACCTACCCTAAAAAATCAGTAGTTTAAAACCTAATTGTACGGTTGAGTACCCGAACCAAACCACCCTAAAAACATTTTTTACATATGGTAGTACTAGAACCCTTCACCCCCTTAAAAAATGATTTTGCATAATTTGCAAATAATAACAATCTTATATATTTTAATTGATTACCTCTTCCAGTGTAATTGTTGTAGCAACAGCTGCTAAACTTTCATCTGCTTCCCTTTGCTCCATTGTAGTGTGGCCAAGTGTGTCATTATACATGATAAACTTAACGGCGTCATGAGATGAAGTGTTATCAAGCACGCGTGCAAGAATTGTACTATCTTTCACAATTGCATCCTTGTGAATAGTAAACACCAACTTCATTTAGTTCAAAGCTTAAACAACAAAAGAGGCACTAGCAAATAAACACACATAAAAAGGAAAAGAAAAAATAAGTTTTAAATCAAATCACCTTTCTTCTGTCATCAGGCTGCTTCTTTCTTAGCAACAAAGCATCAAAAACTCTTCAAAGCGATAAACAAATATGTGCATCTAGCACAAAATCCAAAGCCAAACTCAACTGAAATCCAATGACCCAGATGCCCAAATCACCTCAACAAGATCAAACAAGACTATACACGTCTAGATCACCAAAACAAGCCTCAAAACCCTATAAAAACGAAGAAAAAAAATCCAGACTTGGGCTAAAATGAAAAGACCCAATAGAGTTTTTGGGACTAAAAAGACACCTTTTTGGTTGAAATGAAGAATGCTCGCTTCGGTAAAGAGAAACACCCGATTTTATGTTTGTCGGCCTTGGAAGAAATTTTGACGGAAGTCCCAAAATCTAATTTAGCTGGAAACAGAAGATTTTTTTTTAACTTGCTTTCGGAGGATCTAAATAGGCGATAAAATCTCTAACGAATTATTGCGAACAAATTGTGTAAAGTAAAGTATATGCGAAATGTTATTATTTATAGTTATATTATAAAAACATGCGAGGAACTTGAATGTTTCCGGAGGAAAGAACAGACAAGAAAAAGAACTGATTCTTTTTCTTGTTCTCTTTTCTTTTTCTTAGCTGATGTTGGGAATTCAAGAGAGGATAAATTGAGATCGGAATGGAGAAGATTATGGGCGAAAGTGCATTTGGATCTCAGTTAGAGAGAGAAAGAGAGAGGAGAGAGAGAATCCAGGACGTACGGTGTACTTGAAGTTGGATACTTTCTGAGGGGACCCTTGATACGGGAGATAAAGTTAAGTGAGTAGTGGTAATAACTAATAACAACCAGTAAAAAAAGTAGAGGGGACCCTTCATAGTAAATAAGCTCAGCAACCCATCAACCTATAAAAACGATATCATGATGACAGTGCAAGGACCAAGAAAACAAAACTTATGGAAAAATCATTTCTTATATAAGATATTCTTTTCACATTTTAGTTTGAAACAATTTATATAATCATAAAAAGAAATGTATTAAGTCTGTTAATTGGATAACTCAGGTAAATATAATCTTTTTTATATTAGTGTAATATTGTTATTTTTTACGTGTAATATTCGATGCGTTCAAGTTAATATTTAAAAAGTAATTGATCCAACACATATAACATTGAACAACACGCTTAAACACACGAATAAACTTATGGGAGGAGAGAGAATTGGGAGTCGTTTTTGACTTTATATAGGAAGGAATAAACTGGGAGAAGAAATTAAAAATGTAAAAAGAGACTTTTAGAGAGAGAAAGAGAGAGTGAGGCTCAGTGGGTATACGGTGAGGAACAACTCAGCAAGAGAGAGAGTATTTCATCCATTCCACTTCCACTTGAGAGGAGAGAGAGATTGTGAGAAACTGAACGCAATAAACACTACTCTCTGGATTAGTATTTCTTTCATGTATTATCACTGTTGTGCCATATTTAAGTTGCAGATAGAGAACATGACGTGTTTGGTGAGAATATTAACTACACATGCATGTCACACTCAATATTTACTGTGTTTAAGTATACTAACGTTATATATTACTGAGCATGAATAATAAATAGCGTCAGGCAGGAATAATAAATAGCACAATCACTGTTTGCGGTTCCCAAATAAATAAACTCCGGCTCAGACAATACTCTCTCTCTCTCTCTTTCCC